TGTCAGGTTTCCTTGTAAAAGCTGGATAAGATTAAAATGAACTTTTACATCTAGACTCTGGCTCCTTTAAATGATTTGGTCTGTTGTTTAGCGAGCTCTGTCCCTATCAAATAAATGAACAGAATGAGAAGTGTTTCCCTCCGCACGTGGAGCCACGCTGCGTAAATTAAGAGACAAAAAAAATGAATTAATAACAGAAGAGCGTGACTAGACAGCGACACCTACTGCCCAAAGGTTGAAATCACTGCAACTGGGTCAGCCCCTGCAGTGATCTGTTTATATCATCCACTAAAGACCTGAGGTCAGGCCACAGCCACATATCACTGAGGAACTACTGCATTACTGTCAATGTTATCAACACCGTCCCGTTTATTGCTCTTTGTTATCATGTATTTATTGAAATTGGAAGAAAAAAGACTTTAATGCTTTAAATACAGTTGTGAGGACATGAATGCAGCACACGCCAATGGATAACTGGTTTAATCATTACAGCTGACATAACAATAGTGTAACTAATGTGATTAAAAAACTGTCTAACCACAGCTTACTTTAAACTTGTAAGAATGACAGGGACGTAATAATATCATTTGTACATCTTGATGTGAAGGCAACACCCACAGCTCTGATTCATCATTCGAGGTGATAATGTGTTCGTGTCAATGACCTATTTTTTAATAAAAGGAACAGATGTTTATGGAGATAATTATTCCTACCTTCATCAGTGCACATTATCATTTTGATGTAATGCTGCCGGGCAAGGCAGGTGAAATCCTGACCCAGTTAAATCTACCAGGAACACAATTAAGTCCACTTTCCTCATTCACACTAACTTCACACTAAACTTTTTAAAGATAATTTTTTTAACGCATTATTCCCTTTTTTTTTGACAGAGTGAAGAGGCAGACAGGAAACATAAGGAGAGAGAGAAGGGGTGTGACGTCCCACTATGGCTGGAACTCAAACATGGATGTTAGATTGTGGCACAGTCACCGGGATGCTCCCCTAAAGTATAATTTGTTTTTCTATCTAATTCCACAGTGGGGCTGAAATAAACAACATAATACAGCCAGAAACTTTCATGGAACCCAAAAATTAAAGGGTCTTAAGATCCCACACATGGTCCATTCATGTGGTTTGTGGTAATTTGATTAATTGCAAATTTATTTTTAAATAAACCGTGTGCTTGTAATATATCTAATCAAATGATAGGGGCCTCAAGGCGCCCTGGGTCAATTTCAGTTTTCTTTATCTTATTTGATTTTGATATTTGAAGGTTTTTTTTTTTACCTTGGGGCCCCTGAGTGACCTTATTATATATATATTTCTATGAACAAGAGACCACTCCAGGTCTTAAATCATCTACATGGGTGGCAAATATTTCTGTCAGTTTCTTGGATTTGGGGAGAAATGTTATGAGTAGTTTAATGAAGAGAATATTTCTTTAGCACCTATAATAGCATTGCAGTTTTTAAAGATAAGACAAGAAGACGTTGTAAACCCTGAGAGAAATCCTGCTGAAAGCTGTGGGATCACAGTATCAACAATATATAATAGAATAGAACAAAGTCAATAAAACAATGAAGCTAAGTCTAAAGATATATATGTGAATAAAAATGAAAGCACATATGGTTAATTAATTAAATAAACACTCTAAGTATATACAGAGTTATGCAGAACCAGTGCCGAGTGTTAGATAATGAAATAAATGACAGCTGTCAGTGATGACACAATAACAAATTATACATTTTCTGGTTTTTTTTTTATCATAAATTGAAAATACATGTATTGTTGTAGGTGTGTGGAAACATACTGTTTATTTATTTGTTAATTTAAGGACGTGAAGCGATCATAAATGAATTAGAAGCATTTAAACACACACACACGCACACACACACACACACACACACACACACACACACACACACACACACACACACACACACACACACACACGCCTCAAACACAAACACACTGAGTGGCCTCTGCATTCCGTTCTCCTCGTGCTCTGATTGGCTGAGCGGGTGCGTCCGTCATCTTTCCCCAGCCCGAGCTCGCAGCTGATTGGCCGGGGGGACACCTCCGACGGCAGCCCGCGCGCCATTGGCCGAGAAACTAGGTTAGTGGTCCGACGGGCATGACGCTGAAGAGAAACTGGGTCAGCGGCTGCGATTCGTTTATGTCACACTTGTGTGGGTCGTTATCGCAGCTCGCCCGGTGGCTTCCAATGGATAGACGGACCCCGGCGGACCCGCGGTGAGTACACGGTCGACCACCGGCCTGCGGGGGCTCGAACACGCGGCTCCGGGTGTCCGGTGGCGGAGGATCCGCGCTGGTATCGTCGATGTTTTTTTTTTTCCGCGGTCACGTCACTCGTGGACGTTAGCTCGCTGCCCAGCTCCTGACACTTCGTTGAAGCTAGCAGCTGTATGCTAACATTAGGCAACGGGGGCTACGGGCTGGGATGGTTAAAATGAAGGGAAACCGCCCCCCCCACCCCCTCCTCCTCCTCCGCCCCTTGAGGTTTAGCTGTTGTTAGCATGCATTGTGTGTTTGTTGAGGGGGGGGGAGCGTGTGCACGGGGTAAGTGCAGGTGTGAATGCGGGTTAAATGTCAACTATCAGTGCCATCGATGCTAGCAGGCTAGCTATGTAAACAGGCCTCGGTGGGCATCTCCAGCACGGGGTTCTTCGACAGCATCCTCCCATGCTAACTTAAAAGCCCAGATCAAAGCCCCCGTGGTTGGCGTTGTGTCTTTGAACGGCCCAGTGGACATGTGGGGGACAGTCGCACTTGGGATGAGAGCTGCCTTGGACACCGCAGCCTCACGAGTGGTTATGAAATATCGTGACACCAGTCGTTGGCGTCGTCAGTGGAAATGTGGCGACTGATCTGCAGTCTCCCGCGATGGTTCCTCCAAAGATGAACACGCGCCACGCTGGTACCGGGCTTTGGTTTCACAGTGGCTGGGTCGGTCTGCAGCAGGGGATCCCTGACATGGAGGAGGGGGGGTTATTCTGGAGATCTCCAGCAGGATGAGCAATGGTTGCCTTTTAATTCCACTTCTTCCTGTGAGTCATTCTCAGAGTTCATGGGATATTTTATTTAAGGATGCAGTGGTTCCCAGTGGATGTTGTGGATCTGTTCGGGACATTAATGTGAAAAATCTGCTCATCTCAATGATATTTTAAATACATGTTGGATTGTTATTTGTTTTGAGTTTTAAGACCTTTTTGCTCCCGGGTGGAGAAATAATAATGTGACAAATTTATTTTAGGATAATTATTGGTAAAGATCAATATCGTTAAATATCCTGATAAATTTCACATCAGTATTTCTTTTTAAGTTTTCAAACGTGTTTTAAATTGTCTTTTTCTTGTTCGCACGGTACATAAGCAGCATTTTGATGGATTGGACATTCTGTAAATGTTGGTCAAAGTGGTTTGGTTTTCATCCCAGTCCATTTGTTTGTTGGTTTGTAAGCAAGATAACGAAAAAAAATTAAACCAACTAGATTTCCAAGAAACTTTGGTGAAAGGATTTGTTTGTGTCTTTAAATTTTGGTCTGGAGACACATCCAGGAAATTTGTTCCACTTTCTTTAACATTGCGAGATTTGTCATTTTTTAAACATTTTTCCATTTTTCCCAGAGAATAATTCACAGATCTCGATGAAAACATCAGGCACATTTGAGGAACTGAAATCTTTAAAGTTTGTGATTTCGTTTGTGCAGCTTGATGGTTTTGAAGTCGACTGTTTGTGAGCCATTTGGGCGAAAAAATAAATGGACTAAAACAACAAAAACGCTGAATGAATAAATAGTCCATGACCGCATTTAAAGTCCTGCTTCTCAATATATTCTGAATTGCATACAAATAAAAGATATATTACTCATATTCTTTCATTAGTTGTCCTTTAATTTAGAACAAATATTCAGTCAAACATGACAATATAGGGCAGATAGTATGTTGTGGGCAGAAGCCTCTTAAAATATTTGAGTTTGACTTTTGTTTTGTGGGCTCGACTGTACTTTTGTGGCTCTCATAATGTCCGCACACACTTTCCGTACTGTTTGACTTCATTCGTGCGTAGGTGTTGAAAGTGTGGTGTTTGAGTCTGTTGTGTGGCGAATATGGATTTCTGCTTCATGACAGACTTTCAAACCCAAACCACATCATGGCGACAGAAGTAGTCCCCTCTCCGGTTGTGTCCTAAGTCGTGTGGTTTGTTCATGTTGCTGTCATGCCTCAAAGCATGTGATTTGACACAACAAGATATACAATAGAGTATGAAATGAAACAGTGTCATATCTTACAACCCCTAGTGTTATCAGTAGTTTAAGTGTTAAGCTTCTCACGACAGCAAGACATCCGCCATGAACTTCAGACTTGGACTCACAAGGGTTGTTGTTTTTGCTTGTGCACAGGTAACAACCTCCATTCGTGCTTATCAGTGCTGATATGTTGACTGGTGAGCATTTTGTTGTGCTCAGCCTGTCATGGTTTTGATTTGAAACTTGACGAGATGTAGAAACACTGCTCTCATTAGTAGTACGTGGTGTTTTTCTACTCTATCCAACATTAGACTACGGTTTGATGTTGAGTTATTGTGATTGTTATTTGGATTATATTTAAATGTCTTGTTTATAAGGAGACATGATCAACTACTTCCAGCATGCGTAGGAAATCTCGGCCTTGGCTCTTGCTTTACCTGACTTTTGTGGTGTTGAGCCAGACAAGCAGCTTAGTGTGTGTTGCAAATGCAAATGTGGGCATTGTGACATCCCATAGTAAGTATTGACTAGACTGCTGACAAGGTGTTACAGGAGCTTCAGGGTTTTCTCTTGGGGAGAGGGCCTCCATTTACCTTTAACTTTACAGGACACTAGAGGAAAGAAATATTGAGAAGCATCATATGTCTCCTTTAATGAATTGACTTTCCTCTTGTATCCACCTGTTGCTACCAAATTAGAGACGCAGGTATCTGATCAATAATATAGTGATTGTTCCTTTCTGCGTGTTTTGCTCAGTTAAGTCTGCTGGGATTAAATTAAAGGCACCTGAAGTCTCTCAGACCACCGCTGCTGCCGGACCAGATTTCGTGAGGAACCATTTACTTGCACAATCTTGTAAGGAACAATGGACAGGAAATTGCGTGAGCAGGGTTAAAAGCACAAACTCCAGACTACCCGCAGCATTCCTAAAGTATTTACCATGCGTGAAGGGCAGGATCAGCTCACGGCAGCAAATGGATCCTACTCGTCAACGGAACATTTTTGTGTGACTGCATGATTTGAATAATAATTGCGTAGTTAAAGAGAGCTGTCAGTCAAGCACAGTCTGTCCACAAAGTCTTGAAGACTTGTAATCAGGCAGTGCAACTTGCTTATTGTCAGAGCCCAGTTATAGTTTTCAAGCTGTTAAACTTTTCCTTCACTGTTGCGAACCTGGGCACATACACATGGTCAGAGGTGAACTGTATGTGCAGCCTAGGGAAACCTGAGAATAACATAAACACACACATTCACACATTATGACTCAGAGTCATAACAAGTCTATTCTCTGTAACCCCTACTTGATTAAATGTTTTGTTTGGTCGGTTCAAGTGGTTGCAATAAAAAGGAACAACTCAGCAGCCGAGGTAAAGTTGGTAGAGGAATAGCTACAGGTGCTTTCTTTAGTTTGGATGAGCTGTGATGATGACTGATGACTCGGTCACATGATGCACAAATCTGTAACTGAGATTAAATGTCCTTGGCGATGAAAAATAATAATTAATGTTAATGCATAATGTGGGATGTTCATTTCTAATTTTATTGTGGTAATGCATCTATTATAATAATGATGATAAAGCCACAAAGCACTTGAATCCTGATTTGGATGTGGGTTACCATGGCAACAGCTGAAGCTTCAACCCATTTAGTAGACTTGAATTTTGTTATTATTGCAACCTCATAGTCCGTGCCAGATATAGATGCTGAAAAAGCATCGAGGATTAAATGCGTTACTCACATCTATGCATCATTTAATGACTCATGGCAACATTTCAACACGCGGTATATTTAAACACGGTAAGGGAAACGGGTTTAGGTATTTTAAGCTGCACTGCAGTCCTCCTGGGCACTCAGAAATATCAAAATCATTTTCCGGACATTTTCCACAGCTCATGTCTGAAAACTGCTCATTTGTGTGGGTTTGTTTCACATCTCCGTCTCAGAGTTTGTTCACACTTGACTCTAAAATGTCCTGTGGGTGATCTCATCCCCAGTGGACGGCCCTGAAGTCAAGTTTGAGTTTAGATTCCTCACACACGTCTGCACTGAAGTTTCTAGACAAAAAGTACAACGTGAATTGATGACTATAAACAGCTTACATTAGAGGAACTCTGGCGCCTTGGATGTTACTCGTGAAGTTGCTGATCTCATGCTAAACTCACTCAAAGTGCAACATTAGCATTCATCTTGAGTTCCTGTGTGTCCGACTGTTTGACAAACTTGGTTCCAGTTGTTTGTGGCTGGGCAGGTCGTGCTGGTGGAAACGAGGCTGATGATAGTGGTGACGCAAACAGTAAAATGACCTCTTGCAGTTGGGTGATAATTTTCTTGGTGTTCATTATCATTAGTGACACAGTTGGTCCATTTAAGAGTATTGATAAGTGCAGGTTTGAAGAGACTGAGCCTCTAGAGGCTGCTCAGCAAACGTGTCTGCATCTGGCTAATTTCAAGTTGAAACAATGAGGTGATGAATCACCATGAGCGCAGACGGCAGGGCCGGTATTGTTTCCCCCCCGTGTGTGTTTGTGTTTACATGTCATCATAGCAATCGTTGTCCTGGAGACACTGACAGCAGCCGGTCCACCACTGAGGACTGTTAGACTGTTTTAACAGGTAACCATGTAAGATACAATCACAAAACTCTACAGGCGTGTACTTTAGATCAAAATGATGGAGAGGTTTGAAAACTGAAGTGGTGTGACGCTTGAGTTCTGAATGCTCATGTAATAATGTAATAATTACTGAGTCTCCCCATAGGTGGGAAAATTAACATATTTGTATTTTTTCTAGTGCACAATTTAATTTCCTCATTTCACCCAGATAACAATACAAATCGTTTCTCTCGACGACTGTGTTCTTGTCTTTTTATATGTAGGTTGTAACAGCAGCTGTGACCTCCTTCCATCTTTGTGATTTTATTTTTTTTCTTCTAATATAGTGTCACAGTTTACGTTCATAACAGAGTGAGACACAGCTCTTAAAACTCCATATTCGATTTAATTGAAAAGTAAAATTTTACAAATCCTTTTTCGGAATAATTGTTGGAACAGTATCAGAGTATCGACAGTGGTGTCGTCACTGTTTCTGTCACTGGTTGAGATGAAAGTGTTTGTGATTTGGGAGATTGTGGCGCTGATTTGATGCCCGGACGTTCCCTCGCTTCATGGCCAGTTCTGCCGGCTGCTTCCTGACTGTCTGAGTGGGTGTAGAGCGTAGAACAGGGGAACTAAGCTGAATGGCATGCTGACTCACTGACAAAGTAGAAGTAGGTGGTGGATGGAAATTGAGGCTGGCTGGTTTGAGACCATAGAGACTGGCTGACCCACTTTCCACTCCAGCACCAGTTCCTTTCACTGTTCAATCATGACATAGTGGTTTTCCCCCTCCAGCCCAGAGCTTTGTCCCAGTATGAGAGCTCCCTGAGTCTGTCCTGACCTAGTAGTCTGCTGCCTGCTGCTTCAGCACTGCTTCCTGAGCTTTGCATTTTGATGTCACTGCACATTAAACATTCAAAAAAGCCACGACAGTGTTTCCTCTTACTCCTCACAGGAAATGGTCACAGTTTCAAACTGGTTTCTATTCTATTATTTATATTTCCTTTTTATTATTGCATAAATAAGAACGCTAGATTGTTTCCTTGTATTTGATATTTTTCCTGTTTGTTTTTTATATATCTACCTCACAATTCCATAAATTGACATCATTCCACAGACGTGATACTTTTAATATTATTAGAAATTGAATGAACAGATAAAGTGGGGGCAGGGCAGAGTCCCTTCAGTCAGTGTGTGGACCGAGTTTAACGTGTCTTCTTCTACGTCCTTGAATAAACTACAGCCGTGTTCTGTAACTGGGTCCAACCGCAGGTCAAAATCACTGCCAGATCATTTGGATGATTTGATTATTTCCATTGTATCAGACAGACAAGGATTAACTGACCCGCGACTGGTGCAGATCTCCATCATGGCAACAACATTCATAGAATCTCTTCCTGTTTGGCAAAAGTCTTCAAAGCAAAAGGACGACATGTTGTTTCTGCACCGCGTTATACGGAGAGGAGTTAAAAAGATTAGAACTTGGGTCTAAATATTGTGTCGGTTGTTTAACAGACATGAAGCAGCTGACATGCAATGATTGATAACACCAGTTCAGTAAATCAATTAAAATTACTGAGTGAACAGTAAAATAGTAAATCCAGTTTCATTTTATGGAAAACATTGACTGTCAAATCTTCAGTTCAGATAAACCAGGTAGGATAAACACACATTTTTCACTCTGCACCATAGGTTGTTTAAAAAAAGCTCCGCACACATGGTCCCGCACACAAACAGTGACAGTTTACTGTAGAAGTGTTAGATGACTCACTAATGGTGAGGAATAATTCTGAAGTAGCTCCATCAACACAGGACGAGAGAACACAACATTACAAACTGCACTAGTTACAGTAAATCAACCAATCGACTTGTACTTCACTAATCCATTAAAATGATGAGACCAGACTCAGATTCACAAAACAAAGATCTCCACAGAAGAGTCCATCTGTCCCATTGTTTGATTAACTCCTTCCTAAACAGTAATTATATAGTTATAGCTTAGCAACCAGGGACAGCAGGTCCGTCCCACGTCCCCAAGTGGTGTGAGTGGGTTTGTAGTGGCAGTAATTTAAACAGGTTAAATAACAAGGAATGACTTCAACACTATCATCATGTCTAATGGCAGCATTAGAGCATTTACAACAAGGTACAGCTCTAATGTTGGAGCTCTCTTGTTGTTGCATGTCGTTCTTTTAATGAAGTTTTGTCATTTGCTCCGTGATTGTTTCATACTTTTTCTGAATTGTTTTGTTTATATGCCATAAGGTTTTTGAAACATCAGATTTGCACCTGACTGACAGTTCTCTCTTCGTCTCCCTGCAGAGGTTGATGGTTTGCACCAGCTGCCTACAGATCAGATCACACTGGAGGAAACTGAATCAAAACTAACAGATCTGAACTGAGCAGACCAGACCGATCCACACGACACCAGGCCCGTCCAGGAGGCCTGTCCCAGTTTCCTATCCAGGTAACTGTTCTTCATATGCAGCCTGTTCTCACGCACATTTAATGGAGGTCAATGAGTCAAAGTTCCTCCTGATCAGATGCATCAGTCTGACTCAAGAGGGAACTGTCACAGAGTTGAATACAGAAAAACACACAGACTCGTATTCTATACTTTTTCTTCTCGCCTCATCTGCCTCTGCATTTCCGTCCTCTGCTGCCAGCTAATACTTTTCTGTTTTACAATAACAAAGCTAGAATATCCTGGATACGGTTGATACCATCTTGTGCCTTTGACATAACTTGAAGTCAGTGTCAGCGTAGTAGTGACCGTGGTGTAGAGCAGGAATATCAAGGTTCACACACACGTGAGCCAGTCTCAGCTGTCCTGATGTTTCATGAGGTTTTTAAAGCATCAAATAAGGAATTTATACCTCGAGTTCCAGTTCAGCGACGTATGAGATCACCACATTCAAAGAGATGGGGGCAGCTGATTGGCTGCAGCTAGAAGCGACGTCTACGTCACATCAGATGCTCAACTTATCTTTGACCATCAACATCTATATGTTCCCTAAATAGCACAAATACATCAGATGTCATGTAGCTGATATGGTCTGACCCGGATCTGGCTGAGAAATGATAATACATGTGACGTACAATATTTCCATACCTGCAGCTTCCTGTTTATTCTGCCCTCACATCTGACCCAGACGTCATGACGACTGCAGCATGTGTCCATGCAACTCTAACTGTGTGTGTGTGTGTGTCTGTTCTTCTTCTTTCTCTGTGTTGTGATTTTTTTTTTAAAAAACATGGTGTTTTTCTGTTTGTTTGACAGTTGAGGGCTCACGAGTGGATGGAAGGAGATGACTTTAACACAGAGGCAGTGATGAACATCTGTGGTGAGTGTCACTTCATAATGTTTCCAACCAATCATGACCATTATCCTGTTTGTCTTCCTGATTGTTTACATATAGTCAATTATTACAGACGAGAAACTGGAATGAGAAATGTAAGAATGCACATTGACTTTGCTCGACACAAAGCAGGAGAGATATTACTTCATGAAATCAATGATATATAAACATGAATTTGCATAATGTGGTAAAATATTTACATTTGATTACATATATGTTACTGCAGGACATTCCAGTACATCATATTTAATGTTAAGACATTAAAACAAACTGTTTCTAGAGCAGCAACAATAACAAAGTCACTAACAATTCAATAATAAAAGACATGAGTCTGTATCCATCTGTCCTTCTGTCTTCCTTTCCTCTGTCCTCCTTCCTCCTGTCCCGTGTCTTCTGTTCTGCATGTGCTCTGTTCTCTAACCATCTGCCCTCTGTACTTCTTGTCCTCCTATCATTTGTCCTCCCACCCTTCTACCTTCCTGTCCTCTTTTCTCTGCTACTGCTGAGTCACTGTCTGCAGTCAGCTCGCTTGTCTCTGACACAATCTAAGTTTACAAGAATACAACATTGTGGGAGACTGTGAATAAAACAGATTAAAAATAAACCACAAACAGGTAGTTTGTCACTGAACCTATTGACCTTTTACTTTTTATTGCTCTGCACAGTGAAGAGTGCAGTTGTTATCTTCACTTCACCTGGTTCACTGTATGTGTGTGTGGGTGTGTGTGTGTGTGTGTGCGCTGTGGGCAAGCAGTGCTTCATATTAAAATTATTAATAATTATATTTATCAGACAGAAGCAATTAGTTGTTAAGTAACCTGTGGGACTTTCAGCCAGACGTATTTACTCGATCAGAATGTCCCAGAGCTTCGGAGCTCATATTTCAGAAGCTCTGTCCAAGGTGTGATATGCAGGTTTTTTCTTATCTCCACAGCAGGAGCACAAACATCACTTCTCACCAAATTCTGTTCTGCTTTTGTCTTTGCTCTGCAGATGACCTGATGGCAGACCAAAGGATGGACATCTCGTCTACAATGACTGACTTCATGTCCCCTGGGTCCACCGACCTCATCTCCAGCTCCATCAGCACGCCTGGCATGGACTACACACGCAAGAGGAAGGGCAGCACCACCGACTACCAGTAAGAAGAGCAGAAGAGAAAGACAGGAGTGCAGGGACAGGAGTAAAGGAGGAGTAATGAGGATGAGACAGTGAAAGGAAAGAAAAGGCAGGGTGGCGAGAAAGAAGGTAGAAAAGAGGAGGCAGAGAATAAGGTGAAAAGACGACAAGGAAAAAATCGAGATAGTTTCAGACTTTTTTGGTAAACTCAAACTAATGCAGCGTTTCTGGTCCGACCAATTTTTACAATCTATTTAAATCGCTCATGTTTATTTTCACGCTCTGTCAAAGTCACAAACACTATAAATCAGTGCTTCTGTTATATATTATAAATAATCACAAGAATCAATGCCTCAATGAAAGAATCTAATTAATATCATCTTTGTTTCTCTGCAGAATTGATGGCTTCTCATTTGAGTAAGTTCAACCAACTTTTATCTGTTAAAGAAAAGTTGATTTAATCTGTATTAATCTCATAATGACTTGAAATTGATTTGTAACCATCAGATGAGAGACAAAGCAAAGCTGCTGAACCCAGTGAACTCTTTTATGAAGCGCTGTGGTTATTGAGATGTGGCCTAAAATTAATATCTCCTGTCTTTTCCTCCATAGTGACATGGACCCAGACAAAGATAAGCTTGGAGGGTAAGAGGTTACCGTGGTTACAGAGCTTTAGTCCTCAGTATGTTTTCATTTGTCGTACATTTGTCCTTTTCCCCTGCGGCTGAAATAAACCAGTGTTCTTTTGAAATCAATTAAACTCGAAGGCTTGGTTCACAAAAAATATGAAAATCTAGTTTTTTAAAAAAAATCTACCTTTTTTATAAGGTAGAAAACATATTTTGTACAAAATAAACTGTCAACTCGAATTCCACCGTAACACTACAGGAAACAACGCTAGTCTGAAAAAACTCAGATTCAGAGAGCCAGCGTTTGTGATGTCAAACACCAAATAAATGAACGCTGTCCACTTGTGTTTGTGGCTCAGAAGCTGGAAACTCCCAGTCACAAAAAGAGGATGGAAGGTGTAGAGTCACATTTAAGCCATTTTATGGACATGAGGGGATTTTTCTCACGATTGATACCAATTCAGGACATTTGGGACCAAGTGCCGGGACATGGAGCAAAAATAATAACGGTGGAGGTTTAGCACAAAAATAACTTCTCTAAATGATCTTATCTGTGAGATCATTCTTTTTTAAATCTCCAAACATCAACACAAACCAACACTTTTCATTATCATATCTGATATTAGATATCATCCGTGTGCCTGTGGGCTGGTTTTGAATACTCCTCTTTTTTTTTTTTTGCATAACAGCATGAATGAGAGCTACTGTGAAGAGGTTTAATGAACCTACGTCACATTTGTATTACATCAGTCATGAGATGGCACAGTCAGATATAACCTCAGAGCTTTACTCACGTTGCATAAGCTTTGATTCTTATGAGACCGATAAATGAGGTTAGTTACAGAACCTGTGAGGTTTGCCGTGGCCCCATTCCCTCCCTCCCTTCCTTCCTCCCTCCCTCCCTTCCTCCCTCCCTTCCTCCCTCCCTTCCTCCCTCCCTTCCTCCCTCCCTTCATCCCTCCCTTCCTCCCTCCCTTCCTTTACTCACCCCAGCCCTTCTGTCACACTGATTTAAACCTCAAACCTTGTGGTTTACTTTTCTCTCTGAAACGTTCCCTCTTTTGGCCATTTCTCTAAAATGTCTTTGTTTGTCTTTCCAGTGATCAACAGGGCCGGATTAAGAATGCCAGGTATAAAAACTCTTTTCCATTCTCTCTCTCTCTCTCTCTCTCTCTCTCTCTCTGCTAATCTCTCTTACATGAGTTAAATGTCACTCTGTGTTTGGGCACAGAGAGATCTTTGTGTATGTTGATAATAAGAAACTTTATACATTGAAGTGTATAGATCTGAGGATCCCGAGGGACTGTAAGAGCACACTGTACCTAATGGCCAGTGGCAAGCTCTCTTTCTCTTGCATGGAAAGAACGAGTCTGTCTGTAGCCGCCAGTGTTGCCAGGTTTGAGCGCAGGCAGAACAGATGAGTTGGACAGACGGATGTTTTCTTTACGTCCTGAAGGAGAGACTGAACACCAAAAATGGAATTTCATCTTTCACCCTCGAAGAGCAATGTTTTCTTAGCATCGATCTAAAGCTTTGATATCAAGTTAGCTAAGACGATGAGGTGATGGATAATCTGCGGTGCAAAAATGCCGCCTGTTGAAGGACAACTTGCCTGATCTTGCATTCCTGCCTCTGGCTATTATAGGATTCTGTCTCTTAAGGAAAAGGTAAAATCCAACCGAGATGGTTCTCGATATTTAGTTTGAGGCAGGTTTTAAAAGGAGGGAAGTTTGATGAGTTTAGCGTGTTAACGTTCGGTGCTCCTTCCTCCACAGAGAGGCTCACAGCCAGATCGAGAAGCGGCGCAGGGACAAGATGAACAGCTTCATTGACGAGCTGGCGTCGCTGGTGCCCACCTGTAACGCCATGTCCCGCAAGCTCGACAAGCTGACGGTCCTGCGCATGGCTGTCCAGCACATGAAGACACTCAGAGGTCAGGATGATTATGATGATGATGATGATGATGATGATAATAATGATGATGATGGCAGCTTGTTTATCACTTTCAAACTGTGTGAGCTGCAGGTGAAGTCTGATGACCAACATGTCTGAGTGTTTATTGTTGTGTTTCATGTTGTGTAGGTGCAGCCAACCCGTACACAGAGGCCAACTACAAACCTTCCTTCCTGTCGGATGATGAACTCAAACACTTGATACTAAGGGTGAGTGCAGACATCTGACACTGATGATACGGAGTTTGTCTTCTTGTTAACTACAGATGGACAGTTTGACTAATGTTTTCCACCCAGTTCACAATGTTCTCTGTTAGTTTGAAGTGTGGAAAACATAATTAACAGATGAAAATAAATAGCAAATTAAATATTAAAGTGTTGTTGGATCAAATTATTTTGTAATATTGCACCAAAACATCTTTGTATGTTATTAAACAACTACCTTTATTATTTTTCCACGGAGTCCAATGAAAACGAAGTAACAACCGCGTCGTATTAAACATTAGTCTGTGAAAAAATTAAATAAACTGTATTTCTTGGTGTGTTCTGTGTTTTCATGCAGGCTGCTGATGGTTTCTTGTTTGTGGTCGGGTGCGATCGTGGCAAAATTCTCTTTGTTTCTGAATCGGTCTACAAAATCCTCAACTACAGCCAGGTATGCCTCAGAGCACCGAGGACATGGTTAATGTTTCTTGAGCCATCTTCAGTTACTTTTTAAACATTACTGAATTTATGTTCAAAGTTTGTTTTGTCACTGAAACACTCCCTTCCTCGGTTTTCCTCACTCACTCTCGTATATCTCTCTCCCCCTCTGTATCCAGAACGACCTGATAGGTCAGAGCCTGTTCGACTACCTTCACCCCAAGGACATTGCCAAGGTCAAAGAGCAGCTGTCCTCTTCCGACACAGCCCCACGAGAGAGGCTCATTGACGCTAAAAGTAAGCAAACTCACGTCCTCATCTATTCTGTGAAATCTCTTGTCCCCCCCCCCCCCCCCCCCCCCCNCACATCGAGTTGACATCTTAATCAGTCGTGTCCTCAGCCGCCAGCGATCTCAAGGTCGTCTGATGACATCAGCAAAATGATTAGTTGTGGGTTTATGCTGGTTTTGTCTGTTAGTCATTTCAAAACCACTTGATTTATGTTCCTCTAAAATATGTGACTTTGAGTTTTGTAATTTGGAAACAGAATTTCACAAAGAAGAGAGTTCATTAAGCTTCATTCAACTTCTAAAACAGATGCATCATGAAGTTAAACTGATTGTTTTTCACTGTGTTCTTGTTTCTCTTTGTTCTGTGTCTAGAATAATCAGAAACATTGCAGACAGTAAAACGATGTTGTTATTGAAGCTACCGCACTGGACCAACAAAAGAATGACTAGTGGTTTTGAGGCCTGCTAACTTGTCATCTGTTGTGTGTTTGTGTTGTGTATTTGCAGCTGGTCTACCAGTGAAGACAGACATCACTCCTGGTCCGTCTCGACTCTGTTCTGGAGCCAGACGGTCATTTTTCTGCAGGATGAAGTGCAACAGGCCGTCTGTCAAAGTAGAAGATAAAGACTTTCCCTCCACCTGCTCCAAGAAAAAAGGTGCGTTACTGTCGTCGTCCTAAATGTCACACAAAAAGCTTTCGCTCATCATTCAGACGGGGGGCGGAGCCTGCGTGAAGCATGTCTGAGAGCAGCTTTTCAGTTTCAGCTTTGTTGTGAAAAGCCCTGGTTCCCTGGTGTCCCACATCCTTATTAGAAAAAGGAATCACACCTCAGTCAACACGAGCGTCTCCGTTACACAACAGAGGAAGTGGGCCTCGTTAAGTGCTTTGATTTTCTGAACATTTTTATTGCACAAATGTTTATGTAAGACATTTATTGCCTTTATTACATTTGAGGAATTCACACGGGTACATTTCCTTTAGTTAATTGTTATTTTTAAATTAATCCACTGAACAGAAAGATTCTGCAGTGGATGTAAAAAGACCTCGGCACCAAGTCTCTGATTTTCTCTTATATCAACTAGAACAGAACATTCTTCACAATCCAAGGTTTAAGAGCAAGATATTAAATTATTCAGGTTCATTTACACCACATAAGGGAGATGTTACTGGGTGGTGGTTTAATCTCCTTTTAATAAAATATGGATGATGGATGTTTTCCAGGCTAAATGATAATCAACACCGTGCATTTTTAACTAGAAATCCAGAAACCAGTCTGAAACATCCCTTTTCTCTCAGCTTATTTATTTATGTGTGTGTCTGAGGACTCTACTTTCTTTATTGAAACATATATTTAAACAGATCTAAAAGAAATAGTTGATGACAAACACACACACACACACACACACACACACACGCACACACACACTGCGTCAAACTTCAGAACTGGACTGAGACCGGCTGAAAACGTGTGTGAAAGCAAACACGCAGGATCATGTGGTTTCATCATGAATTTAAAGCTGAGCTGCGGTTGAATGCATCGCTGGTCATGCATCGTCAGGGAAGTGAACTCATAAGCTGCATTATTATTTATGCAAAAGGTCATTTGGTAACCATGGTAACTTAAATGTGTGTCAGCTCGTGCGGGGGGGGGGGGATTTTCCTGAACCAGTTTGAAGGATCATCAGATGGTGTGTTGTGTTCGAATCCTGAGAGTCAGTGACACAAAGACCCTTCATCATCGTTCACAACATAATGACTGATCTGAGATCTGGACTAATGACAGATTGTCAGATAGAACCTCCCACTCTCTTGAGCTCCTTTCAGACGTCCACTGAAGTCTGAACATTTTCCTGAAACCGAATGAAAGAGCACAAATGTCATAAATGTAGTTTCTGAGTGAGACCACGTGAAAAAAAAAAAAGACTTATTATCAAGAGAATTCACGAGCGAGTCTGAGGGTTGATGATGTTTTGATGAAAAGAGCCGACGATGGTTCAGATGTGCTTCAAACTAAAACACTGGACGTACACACACACACACACACACACACACACGCTTGTGTACTCAGACTGGGTAAAAACCACAGAACTTGGAAATGTTCCTGTTGTTGTGAATGAGTCTGACCTGGACAGTCTCCTGCTGAGTTCTTTATATGTGAAAGACAAAATGTCCTGACCTAATTTTCCGGACGATGTTCATTTCTGAAAACAGCTGTGACACCACGGAACCGAAATCCACACGTCAGAAGAATTCATGTTCCTGGGTTCACGCCGCTCGGACGTGAACGTGATTAACACAAAGTTTATATGTTTGTGTGTTTGTAGAGAGTGACAGAGGTTAATTATTTATTTATCACGTAGCATTGTTACATAAATCAACCCCTGTTTGATTCAGTCCACTGAACTGTGACACTCTCCCATCACCCCCACAGCGTTTGACGGGACCCCGCTGAGTCGGTCCCTTTTTATTCCCCGTCATAACCGTCGGCTCCCTCGTCCCTCTCTCTCTCTTCACAGCCGACCGCAAGAGCTTCTGCACCATCCACAGCACCGGCTACCTGAAGAGCTGGCCTCCCACCAAGATGGGGCTCGACGAGGACAACGAGCCCGACAACGAGGGCTGCAACCTGAGCTGCCTGGTGGCCATCGGCCGTCTGCACCCCCACATCGTTCCCCAGCCCAGTCTGGCAGACATCAGGGTGAAGCCCACAGAGTACGTCTCCCGGCACGCCATCGACGGCAAATTCGTCTTCGTTGACCAGAGGTGAGACGCAGTAGAGTGTGGGGGGGGGGGGGGGGGAGGGGCTCGTTATTCATTTGTGACCTTGTTAGTTGCAAACATAGAAATTTACAAAGGATGTGTTGAAAATTAAATAATTTAAATTCCCTTTGCAGGTTAATGTTGTTAACAGCTAAAATTAAACACAACCTCTGTGTGTGTGTGTGTGTGTCTGTTCCTCCAGAGCCACAGCCATTCTCGCCTACCTGCCCCAGGAGCTGCTGGGAACCTCCTTCTACGAGTATTTCCACCAGGACGACATCGGCCACTTGGCCGAGTGCCACCGACAAGGTGCCTGTCTACAGACAAACAGTGTGACAGACAAACAACTCTGTCAGTGTGTCTGTGTTTGTGTCCTCACCATGTGAACCTCTGTGTGAACAGTGCTGCAGATGAGAGAGAAGATCAACACCAACTGTTACAAATTCAAGATCAAAGACGGCTCCTTCATCACGCTGAGGAGCCGCTGGTTCAGCTTCATGAATCCCTGGACCAAGGAGGTGGAGTACATCGTCTCCACCAACACCGTTGTGTCGTAAGTACCACGAGACACAAAAACACGCACTCAAATCACAAAACCAATTTTATTTGAGTTCAGTCACTTAGTTTTTTATGTGTCGCATGTTGAGTTTTCCAGTTTATAGTCTGACCCGCTCTCGTAAACACAAAATCACAGAAACGCTGTGCTGCTTCAAATTTGGTGCAAAAGTGAATTCGAACTCAAGGATGAACTGTTTCGATTTTTAGATGGAAGGTCAAAGTACAGTGACCTCACAATTATCTCACACACACACACACACACACACACACACACACACACATTACTATGATGTGTTTTACAAGTCGGAACGATTGCAGATAAAGATATTAGGGAGTAAAAAGTATTTCCAATAAATATTCACTTTACCAGAAGCTTCATAATAAATAAAAAGAAAACACAAATGTGACTAAATATATCGAACTTTAATTAAAACATAAAAGCACGTGTCACATATTCTGTCAAATAAAAGTTTTCATAACATAATTGCAGTGGATACGTGTTTCAAAGACTCGGCTGATTTTAATCTTGTCTACAACAACCAGTCGGTAATTCTTCTTCCGTGTTTGTCTGTGAGGTGTCACATTAATCACGTGTGTGGTTTCTCCAGGTGTCCGATGATGGAAGGATCAGACTACCCTCAATCTGCTGCCTCGCCTCAGAGTATGGACAGTCATCTCACCTCAGAGGGTAAATCGCTTCACAAACCTCAGTAAAGAGAAAGTTTCTGTTATTTATCGAGAAAACCCTCCGACTGTGACTGTGAGCTGTTCAATCTTCACAATGATGAAATCCCCTCATCCTGATTGCTGTGTGATCGACAGGCGGCGGGAGACGGGCGCTGCAGACGGTACCTGGGATCCCAGGTGGCACGAGAGCGGGAGCCGGAAAGATTGGACGCATGATTGCGGAGGAAGTGATGGAAATTCAGAGGTGAGAGGAAATGAGTGAATTCAACTGTTCACTGTGGATCATTGTGATGCACACGGAGACGTTGTGTCGGGATTGATCAGAATCCAGGAGCCACGTGTTCACGCTCGAGTGCGTCGTGCACGACGTTTACAGTTTATCTCATGTCTGCACATCAGGCAGTAGAATCAAGACGACGTAGGACGGAGAGTTCACGCTGCAGGTTTTCAACCGAGACTGATGGTGACTCATGATTGCACCAGTTCAATCTGCTGATGGATGTAGTTTCTACTTATTGTCATGGCAACGCTGACAAACTCCAGCGGGAAGGTTGAAGGCGTGAGATCGTTACAGAAGCCGAACTCAGAGCCTGTGAGTCGGTGCCGGGGGTGAGGACGATCGGAGGTTTTTAGAATCATCACAAACATCTGTCTCTCTCTTATAGGATCCGAGGCTCCTCCCCCTCCAGCTGTGGCTCCAGCCCTCTAAACATCACCAGCACCCCCCCACCCGACACCTGCTCCCCCGGAGGGAAGAAGGTAAAAAACACAAACTGTCTCAAAATCTCCAGTGAAATCGACGTCACATTCAACAAGTGTGAAAACGTTCTGAGGACCACACGTGTGATTATCAGCTGGAAACTAAACTCCTGAACGAAAACTGATAAAAATAGAAATCACAGCTGAGAGCTCAGTTGTTGCTCGTTTCATTAATTTGTCTTCATCTCCTGGAGCATGTGACTTCAACCCTCAGGATATTTAGAGCATTGTCTTTATTGTCTATGAATTTCAGTTTGTTGAGGATCATGTGGACGAGCCATATGAGACACAGACGTGTTTTTTCCCATGAGCCACCTGTGTCTGATCTTTGTGTTTAAACTGATCAGTTTTCACAGTAAACTGATCCCTGTGTGTGTGTGTGTGTGTGTGTGTGTCTGTGTGTGTGTCTGTGTGTGTGTCTGTGTGTGTGTCTGTGTGTGTGTGTGTCCTCTATAGATTCAGAATGGAGGGACACCCGAGCTGCCGAGCACGGGGATCATTCCCGGACCTGATTCCGTCGGCTACCCGTACTCCAACCAGTCCATCATGAGTGAGTCACACACACGACACTAAGTTTGAATGACAGCGAAGACGAACAAACTCGTTTTACAAACTTTTTTTTTTAGCTGAGTTTAAAAAAAACTTTCTAATTTCGGTGTAAAAGAAGTTTACCAGAGTTTGGTCTCAAATTGAATTTCTAGTTTCATTAAAACGAACCTGCCGACCTCAAGCACACGGCTCGCTGACCGTTCTCTAACTCGTCCTCCATCCAGGTGACAACTCCCACCTGAGCATAGACATCATGGACGAGCCCGGCTCCAGCAGCCCCAGCAACGACGAGGCGGCCATGGCGGTCATCATGTCCCTGCTGGAGGCGGACGCCGGCCTGGGCGGCCCCGTCGACTTCAGCGACCTGCCCTGGCCTTTGTGAGAAAAGCCGGAAGGGAAGAAGCACCGAGAGCCGCCGGTGGAGAGAGTCGGGTCGGGTCGGACTCCGGCTGCCATGTTTGCTGCGCTCTGCACGCAACTGCATTGCAAAAAAGTTCATCTGCACACATTTTCAATTTCAAGTTTTAGGTTTTTCCTCACAGGAGGAGAGGAGACGGTTTTTAGTGCAGACGATTCTGGATGCTCAGATCTCAGCTCGTCCACTTCCTGTCCGTGGACCCGTATCTTCACCGGAGCAGAGAGGTGGATCAGTAGCTCGTAATCCAGACGATGTGTTTAGATGATCGTGTTTGCAGTGGTGGTCGTGTGCAGACGAGGGGGTTCTCTGACATCGCCACGGTTACAGACATTACTCTTTAAAAAAAAACAAACAGTCCAGTTAAAGGAGAGAGAAGTCGTAGGTCTGAGGTGCTAACGTCTCTGCTGATGGACGGATCTGACGCCATCGCCAGGTCACGAGCCGACAACCGGGACTCCTGAGACGTTCATGGACATAAACTGAAGTTTGATGTGGGTTTTGGGGGGAGGGGCGGTGGTGTCGGTGCCTCCCACCACGGACCCTCTCGTCGTCTTCATCAACACCTCTAACGTAGGACGCGGTGCACTTCACAGGAAATGGTCATTTTGTCCGCCTGATCATGGGAAACCGTCGCGCTGTCCTCCTCTGGAGTTTCACCCTGAAGACACTCGGAAGGTTTTTATTTCCTAAACTCACACAAGTCTGAGTTCAGTTAAAGAATCAAACAAACCGAGCTGCTGTTTCCTGAACTCGCACGAACGCTAACAACTTTTTCTCCAAACAAATTTAAAGCTGATATTCAGTCGATGTTATTTTCCCGAGTTAAAACAAAAACCATCCGAGTACCTGCGGGACTCCAGCGAGTCTGAAATTATAGAGGACGCTCGGTTCAGGTTTCAAACTTAACGTGATCCAAATAAACCGAGATCAAAGCGTCAGACTTTGACGGAGAACACGTGGTTACGTTAATCTGCCGGCGGCAGCAGCCCGGTGTGTGTGGGTGTGTTTTCACGGCTGTGGCGTCGCACACTCAGTTTCCCTCCGCAGACGTTTCCCAGAGAAATCTTTCCCGCCGCTCCTCACGCTCGGCTTTCTCCGGCTGTTCACGCTCTTCAGCCTGTCGCCTGCACATCTCCGACCACGTGTGAAGCACTTCAGACGCAGTGAAACTGTCCGTCACTAAACTCCGTGGATCCGTTTTCAGATTCGACACAGAGACGCTGTTTTGTCTTTATTTAAAATCTGTCGTGGACGTTCAGATGAAATACCTCCGAGTTTAATTCTACTGCAACAGAGACGACGACGGTTGATCTTGAATTTGGTTTAGCACTTAACTAATCTGCAGATGTTCTGTGGCTGTACGCGTCATTGCAACCTCCCTCGTTAGCAGAAGGGGGCGATGACGCAGACGGGGGCGGTTAAAGATACAGCAGAGAGAGTGTGTGGGGGTGGGGCGGAGCTACGCGACGTCCTCTGATCTCATTGGCTGGCGGTGAACACGGTCTCGAGGACGTGTTAGTTTTAAAAATGAAAATCCTCAACGCTGCTTCTTTACCTCGCCAGCTCCGCGCCGCTGTCGTCATGCCAACAGAGTCTGTTCAGAGGAGACGTGTTGAGAGGAGGCTTGATGGCGCCCCCTGCCTGTGTGGAAAGATAATGTGCAATGTTTTTTGTTTTTTTTAAAGAAAAAAATACTTTAATTCTAAAACAAATTATTTTAA